GGGTTCCTGCCTCATCGAGGGAACAGCGTGGGCCACCAGAACAGGCTGGGGGGGAAGGGCGGCAGAAGGAGATGCTGCAAGGAAAATCCTTCCCCTGGGATTAGCAGGGCTGGCCAGCTTCCTAACTGTCTCCAGAGGCCACAGGCCTTACTGCAAGAGTGATGGCACTGGGGGGAAGAAAGATGAACCAGGGCAGAACGAAGGGCATCACAAAACCCAGTCATGGCAAACTGCTCCAAGCAGGGAGGAAAGGAGGAAAAGCCTCAGGTGGTTACAGACAGGGTGAGAAAATACAGAGGAGCAGAGGAAAGGGGAGGGTGGGAATGGAACCACTAGCCCGGGCTGGGAGGCCACTGGTCTATCCATAGAAAGATTAAGTTTACATCTGCTCCGGTCAAGGCACAGAGCAGGCCTATCTGTTCCTGGAATAAACTGCTCGGACAGCCCCTCTAGATGAAGACAGGAGAGGGGGTCTTGCACTGGTAGGACCAGGGGTCACTGGCAAAGGTGAGTAGTCTCAGGACTAGGTCAGCGTTCTCATTCAGTGAGTTTGTAACCATGGGGTGTCTGGAGACCAGAGCTGCTCAAGCAGAAACGCGCTAGGTGGGCGAGCTGTGTGGCCAGAAGTCTGTGCTTCAAGACTGTGGGGTGACAGTATTGCTGGCATGGTGGCATGCACCCAGGGCAGGACAGGATGGGATGACAGGCTAAATCCAAAGCACTAGTGGAGCAAAGTGGATTTGTCTGGCAGGAGCAAGGGGAGGGCAGAACTGGAATGGCACGGAGCGATGCAGATCAGGCATGGCAGAAATGGGACTAGTAACGCTCTGCGTGGAGAGCTGCAGACTGGAAGGGCAGGGAGCACAGCATGTCTCAGCAGCACTGGGGGGGATTGCTGGGGGACAGAGTGCAGCCTGAGGTATGGAGGGACTGGTGTGAATCTGGCTCTTCTGCTCCCTGAAAGACAGGGAGTGCTCTACACAGGCTAAATCATGACAAGGTGTTTGTGTGGGCAAGGAGAAGGAGCGATCTGAGGAGATAGAATGATGTTAGATTACTTTTTCTCTTTCCTCTCTTCTGCAGTGAACCTCGTGCCCTGAATCTCCAAGGGAACCTTTGAAAAGGATCTTCCCCTCCCCGCCATCTCCTTATTGTTTGCCAGCTCTGCCCTGCGCTGTGCAGGGAAGCTTAAAGAGCAGGCTGAGCCCTGGAGAACAGCAAAAAGGACAATGTAGTGAGGGTGCTGTGAGGTCTTGGACAGGGGACCCTCGGGATTTTGTTTGTCACCCTTCACTCTCGGTTGATAGTTCTCTCACATCCTTGGCAAGAAACCTATGTCTGGCCACGAGCGTGGCATTTGGTTAGGAGGAAGATTACACACGGTGTATGAACCACCCTCACCATTTGCACAGGACCTTTGTCCTGCCTCCCATCATCTCTGAAACTCTTACCTAGCTCCTCATCCACTAGGATCCTGGGCAGCAGCCACTTGCTACTACCAGACTGTTTGGAGTCCCCGGTGGTCCCTGTTTGCATGTGGCCTTCACCAGTCCCAGCAGAAGGTGCTCCCTGAGTCAGAAGGTGCCTGGTGGGCACATGGAAGTAATGAGAGCTTTTTCCTTGGGGGAAGAGTGAAGGAGGGGAATGAAATAGATGGGGAGGAAAAAAAAAAGTGAGCCCAAGCGAGCGAGGGGAGAAGCACTGGCAAGTGTTCATGAGAAAGAGAGAGAAAGAAGGTGGAAGAAAGCAAAAGGAGGAGAACAGGGGAAAAAGCTAGAACAAGGGAAAGAAATATAATCAAATAGAAGGGAAAGGGAGGACTGAATGTGAGACAGAGTTGACGGCTGTTCTGCCTAGTACCTGGTGCCAATGCCTTGAGGAACCCCACCAGCGTGCATACACCTCGCACCCCAGCAGCAGATGAGGAGAGACGTGGCTCCCCCAGTGCGGAGTCCCACTCTCCCTCTTGCAGAACCCCAGTGGCAGGGACCGGGTGCAGCCTAGCAGGGGTGGCAGCATGGGGGACTCTGAATCAGAGTCCACCTTGCACAACAACTCCCTGTGGTGGCTGGCATGTGGGATGTTAGCCCTGTTGGCCAACTCTTGGATTATCCTCAGCATCACGGCCAAGCAACAGAAACACAAGCCCCTGGAGCTGCTGCTGTGCTTCCTTGCTGGGACTCACATCCTTATGGCAGCAGTACCTCTCACCACCTATGCTGTGGTGCAGCTGCGGCGTGAGTCCTCTGACTACGACTGGAACGAAAGCATCTGCAAGGTCTTCGTCTCCACATACTACACGCTGGCACTGGCCACCTGCTTCACTGTGGCCTCCCTTTCCTACCACCGCATGTGGATGGTGAGGTGGCCAGTCAACTACCGGCTGAGCAATGCCAAGAAGCAGGCTCTGCACGCAGTCATGGGTATCTGGATGGTATCATTCATCCTCTCCACCCTGCCCTCCATCGGCTGGCACAACAACGGCGAGCGCTACTATGCTCGTGGCTGCCAGTTCATTGTCAGCAAGATAGGGCTGGGCTTCGGTGTCTGCTTTAGCCTCCTGCTGCTTGGAGGAATCGTCATGGGCTTGGTGTGTGTGGGTATCACTTTCTACCAGACCCTGTGGGCACACAGGAGACGCCGGCGGTGCCGCCATCAGAGGGCAGAGGAGGCATCATCCTGCTCTTCATCAGCACACACCACTTTCAATGTGCCGGCCATTGTAGTGGAGGATGTACGTGGCAAAAGGAGGTCTTCACTGGATGGCTCCGAGTCAGCCAAGACCTCCTTGCAGATGACCAACCTCATCAGCGCTATTGTCTTCCTGTATGACACACTCACTGGGGTGCCTATCTTGGTAAGCAGCGAGTTCTCCCTTCCCCTTCAGAGGCTGCAGTTTAACTACATTTCCATTTCTCTCATGTTTCAGAGAAAAAGAGCTTTCTGTCCACCAGCCAGCCATGGAGCTGCTGAATCTGTGTTATTCTGGGGGCAGGTTTTAAGGATTGCAGTAATTCTCTCATCCTTCTGCAGCAGCATTTTTGTAAGACAAGCTGAAAGCTGGGGAAATATACACACACAGCTAAAACCACTGTGAAAGTTTCAAGCAGTTAGGAGGAGAGGAAATTGTTCTGCATACTTACAGGGGGATCTACCTCTGTAAAAACAATGAGATTTCTGTTTCTCCCATTTGCTTCTGGAGAACTGATACCCCAGCTTTAAGAGCTGTTGCAGACAGTTTTCTTTTTCCTTCTGCTTGTATAGTCATAGTCAGCATTCAGGCTTTGGCTGGCTGGTTGATTCTCTGCAAAACTGGAGAGCTAGGGAAGTTCTCAAAGGGAACCATTAGGAGAGCAGAAGTTTAGTCAGAGCTTTGCTTTCTTCTTTCCAGTGACTGTGTCCTTTGTTAGCACCTATTTAGCTCCAGCTTATAAGGAGCACGGGAAAAAGGGATGCAAACACCAGGTCTCATATTAGAGATCTGACAGCTTGGAATATGATCCAGCAAACCTGGGGCAGCACCCCAGGAATGGGGTAATTGCTTAACAAATCCTTTACAGACAGATTACGTTCTACTACAGATTGACTCCTGGTATCGTTCTCCCTGGATCCCCACTTCTGTCTTCTTAGTATTGTTTCTCCTTTCTTACCTCAAAGGTTGTGAGCTTTTTTAGCCTGCGCTATGATACGGCCCCAACCTGGATGGTCCTGGCTGTGCTCTGGTGCTCCATGGTGCAGACCCTGCTGCTCCCCTCCTTCATCTGGTCCTGTGAGCGCTACCGAGCAGATCTCCGCACCGTGTGGGAGCAGTGTGTGGCTATTATGTCTGAGGAAGATGGAGATGATGGTAAGCTCCTCACCACCCCACAGTCACCTTTCTTCACTAGCTCCCTCCCCAAAAGACTACAGACAAAAGAGGGGTTTGCCTTGTGAAAAGGGCCTGACTGCACCAGGAGTGGTGGTGTGGGTCACTAGGACATGTTATAGCCTAGGGTTGGCAACCATGACAATATCTATTCTGGAGAAGGCTCTGGGGCTCGCTTGCTGCCATAGGACTCACTAGCATCCAGGAAAAACTAGTGCAACAGTAGATGCAAGAATAGAGACCATGCATACAGCTGCCAAACCACAATGAAAGTGACGTGCTGGGCCCTTGGCCAACTCGCTGATCCAAAGGTCCGAGTTCTAGCAGTGAGCAATTCAAAAGCAAGACAGAAGAAACAGGGCAACCTCTGGGTGCTTTAGTGCTGCTGTAAGCAGAAAGATGAGGTCCTTGTTCACAGGTGAGCCCTGAGAGCTGCAGGTACGGCAGCAGGAGTCAGACAAGGTTTAGGATGGCTTCAAGGTGTTCTGGTAACATTCTTCTGGCTGAAAAGTGTTGACTGCTGTTCTCCTCTTTGCCAACAGATGGTGCGTGTGATGATTATGGCGACGGCAGGATTTGCAAAGTGAGATTTGATGCGAATGGTGCTGCAGCTGTGAAGCGGGACTCCCGGGATATCAAGCTGCTACCCATGCACCACATGTTGTTGCCCCAGGAGAAGGTGCACTACCTGCAGGTGAGCTGAGAGCTAGCAGGGGCAGCCCCACAACCCACTTCCTTCTCTGTCAGTCTCCCACACCTTTGTGTACTCTTGACTCCTCTGAGAAAGCCTCAGCTACTCCCTTCCTGTTGTCTCTTCAAGTTTTCTATCACCTGCCTCCGTCTCTGTTTTCCAGGTCCCCATCTCCCGGAGAATGTCACATGATGAGACTAACATCTTCTCCTCCCACCGCTCTGCTCCATCCTTCCTACACAAGTGGTCTTCATCTGACGACATCCGCATTCCCACTCCCCGCAAACCTGGAGGCCCCATCTTCTTGCCTCCTCAGCTGCATGACTACCAGCACCGCCAGCGGCCCCCAGAAGATGAGCTGACAACCCTACGGCAGTTTTTAGAGGGGGGGCTGGTGCCCCGGGGCTCCAGCGCCTGCTTCTTCCGAGATGAGATCACCACGTTCATTGACGAGACGCCGCAACCCACCCCAGCCTGCAGCCCACGGCACTCCCGTCTCCCACTCGCATCGCGCCGCGATCGCCGCCTCTCCCTTGCCAGCAGAGAAGAGGAGAACTCCGACCGGCCACGGCGCTGCTCCGTGGCTGGCAGCGAAGCCTGGCAGCTGCAGGATGGAGAGCAGGCACTGTGTGAAAGGACCCTTGAGGCCAGCGAGCCACAGACCTTCCAGGATCCCAAACTATGAGAGACAGCATCAAAACCATTCAGTGCCATCACGATTTTTAACTGAAACTTCAAGTGTTCCCTTTGTCCTGGGACCTGATCACTAACTTGCATTCTCATCTTTCTCGCCAGCAGGCAGGAACACGGCAGCCCACGCTGGTGGGAGAAAGAAGAAGTGGGACACGGACTGCAGAAGAGCGAGATGGACGGATGAACAGCCAGCCTCGTGCCTGCTCTCAGGTTATAAACACACCCTCCGCTGCCATCGCCACTTGGCACCCTCGCCAGTCCAGTCCCTTTGTGAATTCCACCCTCGCATCCGCTCTGCCCGAAGAGACGAGGCAGGCACAGAATGGTATTAAAATTCTATATTTGGAGTGTCAATGGTGTGTCTGTTTTTAAAATAATATATTAGTAATAATTTTGTTTCCATAGAAACAAAATAACTGGCCTAATGTTTAATGAAGCTTCACAGGCTTCTGGAAGGGAAATGTGGAACGTGCGAGGCTCCTTTCCTTCCTCCCCATCCCTTTCTTGTCAGTGAATCTGGAAGGCAGCAGATGCTTAGCAGCCCAGGGAAGGGAAGGAAGCCCGTAGAGGAGTTGTCACGGGAGACTGGGTGAGAAGTTTTCCTCTCCAGTGGAGCTGGCTACAGCTAAGCAGGGGCAGCCTCTGTGCTTTTTAATATTGCTCAGCAAAAGCTATTGCTTCGAGGGAACCCCAGGCTTGAAAGCAAATTCTCTGCAAAAAGACCCTCAGTCATAACATATTCTTTGACCGGTGCAAACTCTTGATTCCAGTGCAAACTTTGCATGAAAAACAACGGCCCAAACTTCCCACTCAAACAGGAAAGCTGACAGAGGCTTTCAGGGGAAGGCTCCTGACTGCCCACGCTGTCAAAACTGGGAGAGGTGAAGTCGGGAGCAGGCTTCTGCCCTGCTGAAAACTCTTGGAAGTGAGGCACAGAGGCAGCATGTGAAAGGTAAACCTTCTCCTGCCCAGTGCTGGCTGTAGTTCCAGCCATGGGCAAGGCTTTGGCTGCATCGGAGGAGTGTGGGAGATGGGCAGCCCTTCACCTCCAAAGCGCTTCTGCATGTGATGGGACTTGGTCTATGAACAGTCAAAGCGTGTGTCCCTGGCGTGGGTTCTGATGC